TAACACGTGTTGACGCGATATTTGAAAAGATTAAATCTAAAGTATTACCGAACGAATTTAGCACAGAGTTGCATTGGGTTCCATTATAAAAGCTAAAAGTAGAGGAGAGAATTCCAGCAGATGCAATTTCGTTAGTGGAAACATTTGAATTCGCGGGAAATGAGTTGGAACCGGACCATGTGATATGAGGAAGGTTATAATCGAAATATAGTTCGAATATTTGTCTAAAACATCAGAAATAGCAGAACCTTTATCACCTTTTTTGGGACGCAACACGGTCTGAAAAGACAGCACTTGAAAAATCTCGGTGAAGTGAGAAATTGGGTCGATAACTTGGTTCGCCTCGAAGGAACCAGCATTGCTCCATCGTGGAATCCCAACTCTGTGTCGGCGAAGTGGGAAAAAGATCATTCAAGCTGGCAATCGTTGTTTCAATTGAGAAGACAAATTGTAACTGTGCCGTTTTGGTAAATATTTCAAGGTAAAAAAAACAAAATTCGCGGAAGTGAGTTAACGACCTAATAGAGCGGCTTTGTGCACACGTGTCATGTCAAAGTGGTGAACGTCGAACAGATCGAAATTGTGAGAGAGCAACAGCTGGCGATGGGCGTAAAAGTGAAATAGATTGTTAACAGAGGTGTTATAGAGGGTGGGAAACGATCGGAAAATTCGAAATTTTCGTGGAAACGCGGCTGGAGAAATGTAGGGACTGGGATTATTGGAACCAGAGGAGAAAAGTTCGCGGAATAAAGAAGTGTAATACGCCTTCGGGGGCTAGACAATGGGTTAATCTTACCCGAGGCTTCATTATTCCCGCGTTATCTAGCTCCGAGCAGTCGCCGATAATCGATGTTTAACGACGCTGTTTACAGCCTAATGGCCTGCTCAATTTGAATGAACCTCGACGAATCGAGGTTCCCGATGCGCGTCGCGACACTGCCTCTTTCTCGTTGCACACCCCATGGCTCTTCACCCTTCCCGGAAACCGTATCAAAATTCTATTTTCCGCCTAATTGATCGTTCTCGTATTCCTTTCGAATTAATTCCAACCGAGAAGAGAATTTTCACGTTCGTTATTCTCGCTTGGAAATTTTCCGGCTACATTCCGCCAGAAGGCGTTTCGTGTAAATTTAACTGGGTTTATTTGAGAGCGAGTCGCAATGTAACGGGATACATACGTATTACTCCAATAAGCAATTAAATATCGTACGTCTGTGAATCTGTAATTGTCTGCAGATACTGTGTTTGTTAATCAATTGAAACCACGATGGTCGAAGCTATTGTACATTTGCGTTCAAGTAATTGAGTAGCATGTTCTTTCACCAAGTCGTTTAATTGAATCGTTGTCGGTGCAAAATTGGACGTATTTAACGAGTTCCTTTGCTGAAGTGGAGCTTGCTGGAAGTCAATCGCTTTAACGCTTGCCCTTTGATTCGTTGTTGCAGTATTTAGTATTAGGTTGGTGCAAAAATAATTGCGGTTTTGAAGTGTGAACTTTAAAATAATATATCTTGGGTTAAAATGAAGTTATTGAATCAAAATAGGAACCATTCGATTCTATGCATTTCTGCCGAAGTAATACAAGTTTCTTTATTCCAGTATTATAGAATTCTGGTGTTCTAGAGTAGATGAACTCTTCAAATGCGTTTTCTGCTGCTGCTTGAGTTTTGAAGTTCTTCTCGCGCAGAAAGTTTTCCAGATGATTGAAAAGATGATAATACGTCGGAGAAAGGTCCGGCGAATACGGTGGATGAGGCAAGGTTTCGTATCCTAGCTGATTGAGTTTTTGAACAGTTATTTGTGAGACATGTGGTCCCTTTAGATTGACCAGTACTGGACATAAATCTTTCAATTTTTTATACATTTTGTCGATTTCGTGACAGTATTTCACTGCTGTAACAGCTTCGCCAGGTTTGAGAAAATTATAACGTCCCAGTTTATACTCGTACAATAATATCTCTCGAATTTGCCTTTTTCCCATCTTTACTTTCCTGACCAAATACAGCTACAAATAAACAGTCAGAACAAGTCACAGACATAAATCGATAGAGCCAACTTTACGCTTTGCAATGGTATGCTACATGAACGTAGTTACAAAACAACTTACTTCAGACTGATAACTCAAGTTTTTAGTGGCGAAAACCGCAGTTATTTTTACACCAACCTAATGCAACGCTCTATGGTTAATTCGACGATGACTAATTTTCGTTCTTTCTTTTACGAATCAAAGTTGCAAGTTTCGAAAAAAGTGTCGGATGACCAACTGATAGACTCACCTCATTTAGTCACCAAATTAGTCACGCTATTTTCGTCGCCCAAAATTCCCAGGGTTACCTGCGATTGGTCATCCCGCAAGTAAGGGCCACAGCAACATTCTTCCCTCCAAAATGACAACAGTATAAAAGACTCCTCGAATCTACAAAGAAGGTTCTGTAAGACTATGGTCGAGGGAGCGTTGGGACTCACGCTGGCTTATGACCCGCAGACCGAGTCCCAACGCCTTGACACCCCCACGCGCTAAGGGCTGGGTCAGGTAAGGACCCAGCCACGTGCTCGTGCGACGCTGACTTTGCTGGGTAGAAACCCCCAACTTGTACCGGGGTTTCCCGAAGGCAAGTGAGGGGTGTGAATACTCGTACATAAGGACGCGCTAAATAAGAATCAAGAGATTGTATTAGAACGAATTAGGAAGCGCGTAGTTGATAAGGACAGACTAGAAAGAACGAGACGGACGAATAAATATAGTTTTCGAAATTAGTTTAAATAATCCCGACAAATATTATTTAGACCAAAAGGCCTTACAGTTCATTCTTGTACGTTCTTTCCGCTAGTCGCGTGTTTTATAAGTTACGAAGCAATAGTATCCGGAGTTGTACCATCGAAACGTCCGAAATAAAGTATTAGTATAAATACAAATCGGTAACAGCGTCTCCAACCAGGATCCCAACAAAAGTATCGCTGTAATAATTGTACCTTTTTATTACGATTAAATAGTTTTATTAAATAAAGTTTCAATATTTATTTAATATGTGGTACTTTTCATAGGAGCACGTAAATGCTGTAGAAATTCGTTTCTTCGCTGCACTGCATACTTCGCAAGCTCTTCGTAGATTTTCATTAGTCCCTTTTCCTATTATTGCAGTATCGGGGCCTCCATACCCAAATAGGAAACCGACAAGGGAAAATGGGAGTACATAGTTGGTGTAGTGCGCAAAGCCTCGGTTTTGTAAGTCGAAGGTCCCGGGTTCGATTCCCCGCCGTTGGGTTCCTCGAAATTTTTCCGCTGGTTCCTACATTATTTTCATAATTTTATGTTTCTTCATGCCTTCGCATAGCCTGCCTGCGATCTGAACTGGCTGAAAGACTAATTCCAAATGAAAAGGTCTATACCTACCATGGTCGATGAAATTTGACTACTTTTGTCTCCTTATGTGCTTTAAAGAAACGTCTCACTAAATATCGGCTTCTAAATATCGTCAACACGCGTTGAAGCGCGTTCGCAGTAGGAGTCACGCGTTAACGTTGAATTCCAACATCCTTCATCAACGATAATATGCGCGTCTTATCGGTGAATTCCAACGAAAGGTTTCGGGAAAGTGCTCTAATAAGGACGTGTAGACAGCGACGTAACCGCCGCAATACCTTCACAAAGGAGCCTTTGCTAATTACAGAAAATACATCAGAGAATAGATCAAACTCAGCCTTGGATGCTCATAATGCAACAATACATTTCGGTAACAATCAGAGGAGAAGCATGTGCATAGCCAGAGCTATGTAAGTATGTACAGTTATTTCCTGAAATTTTTGGACAGCAATAGAAGGAATATGAAAATTGCTCAATTAAAAATATCGATACTTTAACTGTTATGAATATGAATAATATGAATATTTAAAACGTTCATTTTTGCTAAGTGCTTGTATATTTGTGTAAGAGTAATTGGACATAATTTCGACGAATTTCTATTTCAATGCTGTATACGAAAATGCGTGAAACTAAGAATGCGCAATTTTAAAATACAGCAACTGATATTTGGTGACGAAAACGAATCAACTCGATGCTTTTATAATTAATCGAAATATAGAAGGGCAAGGTTGTGTGCTGTCTGAATATTTTTGAGAGTGACTGTATGTATGTCGGTACTAATGGCCAAGGAACTTTGATACAAATTTTCATAATGATTAGAGTTTCGCATAACGACATGGTAAGTTAAACATACATATCTGCATCGCCGCTTGAGTTTCCTTTGAGTTTCAGTCCGCGCGTCCCTCTCTTCGTCCTATTTATTGTTAGCCTTCCCGCTTTTCCAGTAAAAAAGAAAAAATCTATCCTCGAGAATCCTTCTTGTCTCTTAGTACTTTTATCGCAGAAAAATTAGGATTATTCGTTTTCTCGTTTGGACTAATGACGCGTTAAATACTCGACTGCCCCTGGTTTTCGGCACCCTTTTTAAATCATTCATTTCAAGCATCCCTTTTTTAAATCATTCATTTCCCCGCTGCCGGGGAACTACAAATTCGATATGAAAACAGTCGAAGCGAAAGCGGTAATAATCCTTCCGCTTTCAAACGCATTGTATTATTGTAATGCGGTGTCTTTGGTGAGCATACGATACGGCAACAATACCAGCGTACTCCGACAATTCGTCCTGCGCTTGTTTTGTTCTTGTTTATTCGTCCTGCCGTTCGTGGAGTTATTCAAAAAAAAAAAAGAGAGAAAAGCACTGGCAGAGAATATGCCGTGAAATTTCTCGATTCCGAAATACGTTAAATTCATTTTGAAACTACGAGTTTCTCTTTATTCACGGTCCCATTATTGAAAAAACGGTTCGTTTGTTCATGTTCCAGGGGCTCTTGATGGAAAATCGAGCGTCGAATCAAATTTGCCAAAGTTTTCCCTCGTGCAGAGTCGAGTTCGAGCAACTGGTCCGACAGAAATTTCAAGAGGAATACTCGGAAAGAGAGGGGAAAAAAAAAAGAGTAGCCTCTGGTCGACCGTTGCAAACAACGTGTACAAAATTCCACCCTCGTCGTCTTCTTTCACCGCTTATTTTTCGCGGTAAAAATACAAATAGCCAAATCTCGCCGTCCTCTTTCACCGAAATCTTCTAGCGTTATTACCGTGTCTGAATGGAAGTGAAAGTTGAAAAGGGCAAGAAACGAGTCCGAGGTCGGTTATGTTAAGCAAGTTTTTCCGCAATTCGCGATTTTAGCCATGGTTCCTAAGGGTGGGCACCGCGTTAACGCGAACAGCTCCGGGCTATTCGAAAAAACTTGCCAAGGCAGGGATTTGAATAGCGCGGGAAAATGCGAAAGTTCCGTTGCAACCGGAAAGAGAAACTCTCGACGTCGGGCAACGAGTTGCGAGGAGAGCGTAAATCTTGAAACGGAGTTGCGTTAAGATCGTGTTCACGGTGTGGCCGAGAGGGAAACGGCGAACGTTCCGCAGGCCAACTTTCTGTCGAAACGCCAGGCGAAACTCGCAGATAAAATCGTAAATTTCCACGATTTATTTTTGGACACGTCCCGCGGTGGATCCGCGGTACACACCAGAGTGACAAATTTTTGTTTTATGCCACCGTTGGATGGATTTATCGCGTGGCGTAGGTATATGCGATCTTATGCCTCGAGGATTGCGTATATAACGACTGCCATTGGCTATACATACTTTTAGTCCTCGTTTATTTTGTTGAAAAAAAAAAAAGAAGAAATTCGTTGAGCTCGGTGTAGAATTCACGCGATTGGAGGGAAAAGGTATGTCTTCGGGTAGGATCATGATCGCGTATCTATTAATCGAATTCGTTGGCGGGATCCCAGGCAGAAATCCAGGAAGTCCCGAGAACGAGAATCAAATAACTTTGGCAAATACCGCCGGGAGAATGGTTTGCTTGCCACTACGTATCCAGCTTCATCCCACAAATATCCGGCGCCTGAACGCGCGTCCATCCATTTACATATATATTCAGCTCTCGATGCTTGGGCAAGAAGTCTTTCGCGCGTTAATTGCCCTCCTGGCTGCGGGAACATTTCCGGACCAAAAATTCAATTTGACTTTCTCACCCGCGAACGAGAACGGGGGAAAAGGAGAAGAATCGAGTTATTGTACTTTTAACTCGATGTCCCTGCTGCCTAAATTCGCGAAATTCCTCGACCACGAACAGTCGTCCAAGTTCCTCCAAGGCACACCACCCATTTCGAAACGGAACGACCAATGGATTTTCTGTAAGCTAATTATACCTTTCGACTGGTTGTAACGTCGCACAGTCGGGTGGATTTCTATGAAAGAGTTGGCTGAAATTATTTCGCTAGATTCAGCGGAGCGATGTGCACTTAGAAATTACGAAACGTTGTTATTCGATACAATTTTACGTGAAAACTCACGGGAGACTGAAAGATTTAGAAATAAGCCGATTTATGTACATGATTTATTTTTCAGAGTTCAATTTCAGAGTTACACGTGTAAGTCAGGTAAACAAGAATTTATCGTAGATTTTTAAATAATATTGTTACGAACTCATTGTCGACGCGAGGAGCTGCTGCAGGGGAATTAACGAGCTCTCCGTATTTCGGGCCCGATCAACGGCCCGATATTTCCAACCGAGCCTGAGTTATATATTAAACGATTCGTCTCTGTACCATGATCATTTTCATATAAGTGAGGTGTGAGTTGGCCAACTGATCGTGGACTTATTGAAGTTTTTCTGCGTCATCTTGATTGGTTTGGAGTTCGTTTGGTGTGAAGTCTGTGTCTCCTGTTGTGTTTATCATCAGCGGTTCGATGTGTTGGTGCACACGGACATACTAACACTCTTCACCATATTAGGTACAGTGTGTCTTAGAGTGTCTCTCTCCTGGCCATCACTGATTGAGTAAATATATCTGAAGCGAAAAAACTGATATGCAAAGGATGTGGGACAGCGGTAGCAAAGCCCGTCACATCCTGCCTGTGTGTAAGCTAGGCTTAAATAACTACACCATTTACCG